AAACACGGTATAGAGGAAATATTTAACAATATTGATGAAACGATAGATTTAATTTTAAAATGGGAAACTTTTAAAATAAGTGTTTGTGATTATTCTATTAAATACGCGAAACAATCCAAACATAATATAAAATATAAAGTAAAATTACTTGAGGAAAAAATCGATAAAATTGAATCTTTGTGTAGTCCAGAAATTAATATGAATGAAAAGAGAGAACTAGAAAAAGAACTTGATGTTATGTATGATGAAATTGCTAAGAGATCTCAGATAAGATCAAAAGCGCAATGGATTAGCGAGGGAGAGCGAAATACAAGTTTCTTTTTAGGTTTGGAAAAGAAACATCAAACGAATAAAACAATAACAGAATTAAAAAAGAATAATAAAACCATTGACAGTAATAGTGAAATTTTACAAGAAATGTGCCTTTTTTACGAAAACTTATATACAAGCAAATCTGTCGATGGAAACAATATTTTTTTATATCTACAAGACATTGAATGTCCGAAACTTAGTGATCGCGATAGAAAGTCCTGCGACACATTTCCAACATTTGATGAATGTTCAGATGTGGTATACAATTTAAAAAGTAAAAAATCTCCCGGTTTAGACGGATTAACAGGGGAATTTTATAAGTGTTTTTGGTATAAAATTGGACCTCTCTATTACGATGTATTATTAACTGTATTTGAAAAAGACGAATTACCATATTCTCAGCGATTGGCACTGATCAGTCTTTTACTTAAAAAGGGTGACAAGAATAATCATAAAAACTACAGACCATTGAGATTATAGCCTTTGTTCTCGCAAAAAAAAAAATACAAAGCGTCATAGATAAATGATTTTAGACATTTTTTGAATATTGCATGGAAAATGAAAAAGACGGATTATTACTTTTTTTAGATTTTGAAAAAGCTTTTGATTCGGTCGAGTGGAATTTTCTTTTTCCAAGTTCTCAAAAAATTTAACTTTGGTGATAATTTTCTTAAATGAATCCAAATTCGATATAATAAACCAATATTTAGAATTAAAAACAATGGTTGGATTTCAAAAACATGTAGCATTTATATCTATTTGTGGCAGAAATACTGGCCTTAAAAATTAAAAATAACAATGAAATACAAGGCATCAATGTTTCAAGCATGGAAAGAGATATTAAAAATATTCAGCATGCAGACGATATCACATTTGCTTTAAAAGATATATTGTCTTTGAATATTGCAGTTAAAACCCCAGTCATATTTCCAAAAACGACCAACGGCCGATGGGTTTTGAAGCAAAAATGGGATTCTTCGGGTGACAGTCGTCAGTTCATCGGCCGTTTTCTTGGCCAAGTTTGACCAATTTTTTTGTCGGCCGACCAATTTTGTGTCCATCGGTCCAAGTTATAATTTTTCATGCGTCGGTAGCCGATTTCTTCAACTGCAGTTATCCGTCGACCAACCTTCGATCATCGTCCGACCATCGGTGGTCAGTTTATTAAGTCGGTCGTCCGTCGTTGGACAATAAGGGTGTTTAAAATTTCGGCCGACGCTTAAAATCAAACTGTAGCTTAAGTATAAGTCACATTATCCAACGATGGGGTATACGAAGAAACCGATGCGTTTTTTGATGAAAATGGCGTGGTTGCCGGCCGGGCACCACTAGTGATCGGACGGTGACCGAGTCTTTTTTGCGAATCGGTGGGGTCATCGGTAGGAAATAATTCGTAGTTAAAATTCAGCGATGTCTACAACGATGCCTCACATCGCTCCTCATCGGCAACCCATCATTAATACAGCTATCAAGGATCGGCCGATGTATGGCCGAGCATCGTCCAATATCCGTTGAATCTGAGGTCATCGGGGAGTTTAGTGGTGTTCAACAGATAACGACCGATCATCGGTCGATGTTCGACCAAAAACTGGCCCGTAGTCGACCGATGTACGAACATTGTTCACCAATGTATGAGCGATGTAATATACATCGGCCGATTATCCTGGAGCATCGTTTTATGATTAGCAATGCATGGCTGGGCCTTTGTAAGTCCGGCCGGCAACCACGCCATTTTTCTCATAAAACGTATTGGTTGTCCATCGTATACCCCATCGCTGGATAATGTGACTGATACTTTAAAGACTACTTGGCCGATGTGGATCCATGTTGGGGCATCGTTAACACCACGGATTACTACCGATTACCACCAGTCTACGGCTACCGGCCGGGAAATGTGACCTAGGCATTAGAGCTCGATGATCGAACGACGATTGGCCGTCTTATGAATATTTATGCCTAGGTCACATTTCCCGGCCGGTAGCCGTAGACCGGTGGTAATCGGTAGTAATCCGTGGTGTGAACGATGCCCCAACATCGGTCTACATCGGCCCAGTAGTCCTTAAAGTATCAGTCACATTATCCAGCGATGTTCATACGATGGGCAACCAATGCGTTTTGTGAGAAAAATGGCGTAGCTGCCGGCCGGACTTACAAAGGTTCAGCGATGCATTGCTAAGTATAAAACGAAGTTCCATGATAATCGGCCGATGTATATCACATCGCTCATACATTGGTGAACATCATTCGTATATCGGTCGACTACGGGCCAATGTTTGGTCGAACATCGACCGATGATCGGTCGTTATCTGTTGAACACCACTCAACCCCCCGATGACCTCAGATTCAACGGATATTGGACGATGCTCGGCCATACATCGGCCGATCCTTGAAAGATGTGTTAATGATGGGTTGCCGATGAGGAGCGATGTGAGGCATCGTTGGAGACATCGCTGAATTTTAACTACGAATTATTTCCTACCGATGACCTCACCGATTCGCAAAAAAGACTCAGTCACCGTCCGATCACTAGTGGTTCCCGGCCAGCAACCACGCCATTTTCATCAAAAAACGCATCGGTTTCTCATCGTATACCCCATCGCTGGATAATGTGACTTATACTTTAACCTAGTAAGGATACATAACACAAACAAAATTTTGATGCATGGGTTGATATAAATTTTTGAACGGAAATAACATGAATAATTAATCCGTAAGTTATAAAGAAATCTTAAGTATTCTTTGCTGCTTAGATATGCACCATTTGTCGTTTAAATGCAATTTCATACAAAATTTTCCACACATTTTCAATATTGAGTCACAATTTTATAAGTTTCTGTCACTTTGCCTTGCAAACATTACTCACGTCACCTATCTGAATATAGATCTTAAAAAAATATTGATTAATTGTAAAGAAAAAAGATTTTTTTTTGTTATTTATCCAAGTCATCGGTGTCCCTAGGAATCAATGTGACTGCTCAGTTTCGCCCGATACTGTATCGGTTGACCATGTTCTTTCAGCCGACAAGACCAGAAAAATTTAGTCGCCCGACCATTGGCTTAAATGTGACCTAGACATATGTATCACACCGCCGAAACACGAGATTAGTGTCGAGTAAAGTGATTTGAGGCACGTGGCTGATGAGAGTCAATATCTTTGAAACACAATATATTATTCCTAATACAGTCAAGTGCTTTTGAGACCAGTCTAAGTTTTTGAATTCCTCTGATAACTCCGAATTTTGTCTTAGTGAGCCTATTTTATAGGTACTTGGACACAAATTTTGAAGTTAATTTTTTCTCTATAATATTATGACTTATATATTGTAATAGCATTTCACACAAAAATTAATTAAAAATCTTATTTCATTTAAAAGTTATTAAAAGTTTTAATTTTTTGGCGGGTTTGATTGACACATTCTTGCACTTTCATAAATTTTAACTTTATTCTTAATCCTTAGGATATAAGACTTTATGATAAGACTTTAAATAAATTTCAATGAGACGGAGTCAAAAGCTTTTTCAAAGTCTATAAGAAGGACTAATCCAGGTTTATTGTTTTCATTGGGTGTTGAAAATTGGCTTGTATTTCTTGATACTCAAAGTCATTTATAATGATTGTACAAAATCTTAATTAGAAATACACATGTACTATGTTATACACAATAAAAATAAAAATTATACCATACTTAAGTATATTCTGTAAAATGAGGGCGAAAAAGGGACCAAGCTACTATACGAGGCCGAGTCTAATTATTTCTACGCTAGGGATTTTAATAATTTTTTGATAATTAATTTTTAGTGTTATATTTATTGTTTTAGGATTAAAAAATCGAATGTTTGCCACCCCGATTTCTTAGGGGGTCATCTCAAAAGTTGTCAATTTTTACTATTGGACCCTTTGTGAATTTGTTGGAAAATCGCCAAATTATCACATTTTCCCATATTTTTTGTATTTCCACCCTAGGGATTTCTTTTTCATTCAAGTAGTCGAAAGTTAATGTAAGAAATTACCAAAATGTGAAATTTCAAAAAAGTTCACCATCTAGGTTGGTCGAGGTAGTAATTACTACGTTTATTTTTCCGAATCTCAATACCTCTAAAATTGCAATATTACGGTATAAATACATATCTTTGCAGATGAATTATCGGCGCATACAATTTTTTTAGCAATTTTTAGATTGTTAGTTTGTTTCTTGGGAAGTTCTTTCATGAGTTTTTAGTAAAATATCCATGGATGTCTTGAACATACAAGCGAATCATGCATCATTCTTCAGCGCCATGCATTGCTTACAAAATCCAAAAATGGTGACGTTATTAGAGCCATTTGAACGCTCTTTTTCCAATTATTGTCGTAAAATCACATTTTCAGATCAGTAGGATTTACAGATAATGTTAATTTTGTATTAAAATCAAAATAATTTTCAAAAGTGTGCTGTCACACAAATGACTGCATGAAATTAGAAAGTTGCGCAAAGTGATGCGCACTCGAATTAGACTCGGCCTCGTTAAGTGGAAAACTCCTTTATTAGAGGAATTACCAGTATCAGGATCCACAGTGACATTTAATATTATTTGTGTAATGTAGAACAATACAATATATATACAATATACATGTACAATAGAACAATATTTAAGTACAATATGTTTTGTTGCACATTTGAAAGTTCATTATTTTCTTTTATTTGCAGAACGGAAATGATAGTGGCTCTGGTAATGGAGAAAAATCATGGGCAAGTAACTCCTCTGCATCAGAAGGACCAGCAGCCAATGAAATTGAGAATAATGTGGCCAAAACTTCTGAGGCCACCACGAGTAAAGGAACTTTTGATGATAGCGGATTTGGATCAGGTAAGAATCCCTCACATCTAAAACAAGAGGCCCATGGGCCACATCGCTCACCTGAGCACTAGGGGTAGGAAAAAGTAGAAAATGGCTTTTTATTGTAAAGTTTAAATCCAAAAGTAGTTCCAGGACCAATCATAGATTTGCTATTTTTTAGAAAATGATTTTTAAAGAATTTTCCTATACATAACTTTAAAAACTTTGGTCAGCCATTTTGGCCCCGCCCTACCCCCTGGGGTCATGATTTGAACAAACTTGAATCTACACTACCTGAGCATGCTTCCATATAAATATGATGAATTATGGCCTTGTCATTCTTGAGAAGAAGATTTTTAAAGAATTTTCCTATATATTTCTATGTAAAACTTTGGTCAGCCATTTTGACCCCGCCCTGCCCCTAGGGGTCATGATTTGAACAAACTTGAATCTACACTACCTGAACATGTTTCCATATAAATATGATGAATATTGGCTTTGTCATTCTTAAGAAGAAGATTTTTAAAGAATTTTCCTATATATTTCTATGTAAAAGTTTGGTCGGCCATTTTGACCACGCCCTACCCCCGGGGGTCATGATTTGAACAAACTTGAATCTACACTACCTGAGCATGCTTCCATATAAATGTGATGAATTATGGCTTTGTCATTTATGAGAAGAAATATTTAAAGAATTTTCTTATATATTTCTATGTAAAACTTTGGTCGGCCATTTTGGCCCCGCCCTACCCCTGGGGGTCGTGATGAATTACGGCTTTGTCATTTATGAGAAGAAATTTTTAAAGAATTTTCTTATATATTTCTATGTAAAACTTTGGTCGGCCATTTTGGCCCCGCCCTACCCCTGGGGGTCGTGATTTGAGCAAACTTGAATCTACACTACCTGAACATGTTTCCATATAAATATGATAAATTATGGCTTTGACATTCTTGAGAAGAAGATTTTTAAAGAATTTTCCTATATATTTCTATGTAAAAGTTTGGTCAGCCATTTTGACCCCGCCCTTCCCCGGGGGGTCATGATTTGAACAAACTTGAATCTACACTACCTGAGGATGTTTCCCCATAAGTTTCATCTTTCCTGGCACGGTGGTTCTTGAGAAGAAGATTTTTAAGATATGCCACCAAATTTTTATTAATTCCCAATTATCTCCCCTTGAAGGAGGGCGTGGCGCTTCATTTGAACAAACTTGAATCCCCTTCACCCAAGGATACTTTGTGGCAAGTTTGGTTGAAATTGGCCAAGCGGTTCTTGAGAAGATGTCGAAAATGTGAAAAGTTTACAGACAGACGGACAGACAGACGGACGCCGGACAAAATGTGATCAGAAAAGCTCACTTGAGCTTTCAGCTCAGGTGAGCTAAAAATGGTTCAAATGGTGGCAGGACGACAGAGGGCTTCCAAAAGGGTACATCTAGATAATTCCTCCTTACCAAGATCTATAGGAATTTTGTTTATATTGCAGTTTATACATTTCAGAGATGTCCATAGTACATGTATTATTTGGATTTTTTTTATTATTCTTGAGAAGATTTAAATACACGGAGGATATTCAATATTTTTTCGTTGAATATGTTATATACTTATTTATTTTATGAGTGGGACAGGATTTTTTGATATCTTCACGAGTGTGAAGCACGAGTGAAAAAATAAAAAATCCTGTCTCACGAGTGAAATAAATTCCAAATTCAACGACAAAACATTGAATTTTCTGTTTATTACATTTTCTTGATTTCCCTTTTGCCCATGTCTTTTTTGTAATGCAGTCATAGACTACATAACGTCATAGTTGAGCGGTTTCGACGTCATAGCTGAGTAAGAAACATTGTAAACATTTCAGCAACATATTTGGGGAAGGTTAGCAGTCTTTATCTCTGTCAGAATGGTTTATTAACTCGTTCTCTATCTTATAACAAGCCAAGGAATATTTTTTAACAACATACTTAGTTATGGGGATGGAAATCCAGAGTTTTCCCGCACTTCTGATATTTGTCAACTGTGAAGGATATCATTTTGAATGAATAAATTACAGTATTTTGTCCAGAATACCCCTCCCCCAAAGTACATTTTTCTAGATCGGAACTATTTATATTTTGCGAGTCAGTTGTACATTATCAAAGATGTATGCATGCTGCTTGGATTTTGATTTATGATCATTAATAAGGAAAGAACAATTTGTTGAAACCAGTCTTTCATATGCGAATAGGATGCATGTAAATTGATTTAGGTTATATTTAGGATGTCACCACCTCTAGTTTTTGGATAAGAAAAGATTCTTTAATTTATTTGAGAAATTTTAGAACAGCTGTATTCACACAAAAGAAAACCCATATTGATGTCACATTGACAACTTTCCCCTTGCTTTTAATTAACCTAGATTAATTTTCATTGTAGTTGTTTGTCAGTATGAGTAAAAAAAATGAGAATGAAATATGTATTTAATCAGTAATAGAAAATAGTACAGACAAAAAGAAAATAAGAGTTCTTGGAGATCACTTATTTTATTTTCTGAGGAAAACAAATAAAAAATGCTGTTTCTAGATCATAGGTTTTGCATTAAAGTGTCACTTATCCATACATTGCAGCAGAATGAATGACGGCCATTTTACAAGAAGATCATGCTCGTCAAGATTTTGGATCTTGAGCATGCTCCTAAAATATTAAAAATACATTTATCAAGAGGAAACTTTAATCTTTTCTCGTTCTCATTGGTTGGGCCAGCTCGATCTCGAGCAATCCTGTCCCATTTAAGTCAGGCTGACTTCCATTTGGGACAGAAGCCAACATTTGGTATGTGTTGGCTTTTATAATTGTAAGGGTGGAGACTGAATTCTAATCAAGACACATACAGACAGATGGTACAGACTGAGGTATTTCCTACTTTTCAGAACAAAATTTTAAGCTATGACCGGTTATATTTTAAATATCCAATACTAGTGCAAGAGTGCGGCCAATCTTTCAAGTTGAAACTATCTTGAGGTTAAAAAGGTCGAAATCAAAGCATATCATTTTAGGGATATAAAAATTCTGAGGAAAAATTCTACCTCAGCAGAATATTTATAATTGAAGAACAATTATTTTTGGCATTTTATGACATATGAATTACTGGAGACATGTGATCTATAGCTATGGGAAATGAACTAAATTTCTGTATATAATGATATGCAGTACGTCTTATCAAGCATGCATATCAATGCAATCTCAAGAAACTTTGCATGAACAGCTGTTTGAATTGAAATGTTAGAATTAAGAAAACAAGACGGAAAATTCATAATATTGTTTTAATAATAAAGATTAATCCCAATGCAATATTATATTAATATTAACTTCATTAATGGTTGAGTGTCCATAAGGTGGTTTACAAAAACGTGTACATGTAAAATTGTTGTTTATTAGAAAAATAAAAATTCCAATATTTTTTCATAGAATTTCCTAAAGATAGTGCGCCAGTAGTTCAACCAATCAAAGCTCCTTTAAGAACACCTGCTGCACAGAGTCTGATTCATGATGAGAAAATCAAACCTAAATACGTCACGGCGGCCATTGAGGATCTCGTAAAGGCAGAAGGTCAGTGTCTTTAAATGTTTATCTGCTTCCAAAATACAGCTTAACTTCTGAATATAGTGTACTTTTAATTTTAAAAAGATGTTCTTTGATCTAATCAGTTCAATTCTTTAACTGCATATTTTTGTTCATAATTCTACATATTAATAGAATGCAAAAATTCTCAGTTAAGTTTGACCAACCATTCTCTGTTGCACTGATACATGACTTTTAAGTAATGTGACTTGTACTATGGTCATTTTGAGATAATATTTCATGTTGACAAAAACTTTTAATAGTTGAAAAGAGTTCCTGAAACCATGGAAAGTTTTTAAAACATCTATCAAACGAACTATCCAGGCTTCCCAAGTTTTTGTATTCCTATATTCCAAGCCGAAATGTGCAAAAGTTTATTCTGCAGAAGAAAGTTTATTTGTTAAGCTGAAAATTGATTCTTTCAAGGTGCCAAGAGATTTTTAATATTCTATATATTACTGTTTACAGGAATATTTGGAATATTAAGATTTACAATGTCTTTGTCCAAGATAAATTTACAAAAAGCTAATGTACTTGATTTCCTTGTCAAAGTACTGGTTCATCGATAGGCGCGGTTAAAAAAAATCAAATGCAGGGCTGAAAAATAGAAACAAGAAGCGGGGCTTGTAGCACGTGGATTGGCGGAATCAAGAGCATGTAAATATAAGGAATAACTGTCAGATTTTTCGATTTCATGACGATGATCTATCAATTGGCTTGCATGAAAATTTTATGCATAAAAATATTAAATCATCACGCAAGCCAATCCATTGATCACATCAGGAAATCGAAAAATAAGACAGTTATTCCTTACCTAATTCTGCACATGTATTATTTTCTGGCTCTTTTAGGCTTGAGTTCATAAAGGACAACATTATCTCTTTTGACACTTTTTATGTATGGTAAAATTTAACCTTTGCAAAATAGATTTAGATTGCAATTATTAAACAGAGAAAATGATAATGTCCAGAAAAATGACACTTTATATAGGTCCTTTGCCGACCTTTGTAAATTCAATAATATTTGAGATTCTGAAGGTCTATTTTATGTTATAGAATTCGATCACGTGATCGATTTCATGTCTTATTTCTTAAAAAGTAATACCTGGGCTTTCTAAAAGCTATAAACTTGGCTTACTAAAAATATAGTTAGACATTTAATAGATACAGAGCCAATGGATAACCAACTTTACTCATGTTCTGTTGTTTTAAAACCACCGTTTACCAAAATTTCCATAATCTGACATCTTGTTCTTACATACACCACTGTTGCAATTTTTCCTACAAAGTTAAAAATTATCATATTTTCCAATATCCTTTCTGCAAGCTTAATTTATATGAGAGCAAATGTATGGGCCACAATTGTTTCTTTGAATTCCTTCAAATCTTGCATATACATGTATACTTACATGTAGGAGGGCTGGAGCAATGCAGAAGTATATAATAGTCCACCGTTACATAAGATTGATTGATTGATTGATTGTATATTGTTTAACCTCCCTCTGGAGAATTTTTCACTCACATGGAGACGTCAATGTATGCCGGTGAAGGGCTTCAAATTTTGACCTTTACTCGGCACTCAGGGCCATTGAGCAGTGAGGGATCTTTATCGTGCCAACGCCTGCCGCTGACACGGGGCCTCGGTTTTTAAGGTCTCATCCGAAGGACCCGGAACCTTCACTTCAAAGTGCCGAGCGCATGGCGAAGGAACAGTTGCTACCCATTTTTTATCGACTTAGGTCAGTCGCGGCCGAGATTCGAACTCACGACCTCCCGATCACGAAGCGCCGTTACATAAGAATGTGGCCGTATAATGAGAAACAAGTTTTAAATGATTTTCAGGTAAAAAAAAATTAGTGATGCATACTTAACTGTTGAAACCTCTTTGCTTCTCGAATGCTTATCATGTATTGCATTTTATTTACAATTTCGTTGTCTTTTTAATTAAAATATAAAATATTTTAAGCTGTTAGGCTGAATGCAAGAATTTCTAAATCAACATTTTCTTTTGAAAAATTCTGTAATGTGAAAATGCATTGATTTGTATTAAATGCTGCTGTACTGATTTCTGTGTCTTTCTTGCTTATTTAACATGTTTAATATAAAATTTCATACATGTGTGTAAAATTTCTTTATGTGTGTCAAAATATCTTAGGAGAGTTACCTGACCTCATCAGTATCTATAAATAAAGAAGTTATTGAATTTTATAATACATATACAGTATATAAATATATAAACTTATTATTCTAATATCTATGACAAATGATTTTGAAATTTTGAAATGAAAACAACATTATAAACAAGCAGTATGTAAATTTAGTCAGGTCGCTCATTACCATAGAGCTCTAGGTGAGTATCATCTGGGAAATTGTCAATAAATTAGGTCTAGAAGACCTACTTTCTTCAAATTTAGATGTTACAGTTTCTCATTACATGTATTAGATCACCTCTTTTCTCCTAAAATCTTCTAAAGCGAAGTTCATTTTACTTTTTGTGGAAAATAATAAGCAACAATTTTTTGAGATAAAAGTTCTTAGAAGATATTTGTTCAGTCTTTCCTGTATTTTTCATGATCAAGACAGTTCCTTAAGCTGATACTTTGTTGTCAATCAACATTTGTTGTTTTTTTGTGTACATGCATTTCCAATATTAAAAGAAAAATGAACTTCAAGCTCCCTTTTTTAGAAATTCAGAAGAATCATCACTGGTTCCGTGATGTGTGATCGATATCTCCATGGCATCATTTCCTGTAGTTGTAGATACATGTACAAACCTGCGTGCATCTAATATGACCCATGTATTTATACAAATAAATCTATGTATATGCATATATAAATAATTATATGCATTTAATGCTTTTTCAATTTTTTTCAAATGTTAACAGTATTATTTTATATCGTCCTTTTCAGTGAACTCTTGTATTGTGGGAGTCTCATTTGTGTTATAAATCTAATTTATTACAGCCCGGAGGACCGGGCTGCACTATACATATAAGTTTAAGTGTTGGTATATGGAGATTGAGGTGGGAGAAGTTATTTATAATTAAAGGATTAGAAAAAAAATTTCAATCGGAATGGTCTTTCCCTTTTTGAATTACGAGATACAGAATTCATCTACTTACATACTGTGCATTTGTTAAAATATATGTTTTTGATATCTAATATAAAAAGTTGCTTATCATTTACTATCGAAATACGACAGGTCCCTTCTTTTAGAACATCGAATTTTACTAATCGCATAAAAACGCACTCTACACAATTCGTGTTTTATATTCTTAAAGTGAAATACCGTTTTGAAAATAGGTGATGCATGGGTCTAGTTTCAATTCATATTTTATCCAACCAACATCTACTTGAGGAATTGATAAATTTTAAAAAAGGAATCGTTTTCGTTCGATTTTCATCCGACTATAAGATTTCAAAATATTCTCGACTATCGTCTCCATCATTTAGACGCATGCCTTTTTCAAAAATATCGAAGCAGTTTGATGATCAATGACACATTTCCATTGTTTAATTTATGTTTTTCCCGGGCGACAATTGATGGTTACATCAATGTTTTCTTGTGTTTACTTAGGTTGGGGTGCGTTCAGTAAGGAAAATATCAGGAAGTATCTAAAGATTCATGAAGAAAACTGCAAATCAGAATCATCAGCTTCTAATGGTAAATATTGTTTTTATTTACAAGTATTGTCGGTCAGAGTATTTTAAATTGTATCAACAACTTTTCAGAACAATGATATAGATTGTAACACGTTCTTGTTCTGGTACAAGGTATATGTACCAGTAATGTGAGATTTTAAACACGGGTTGATTTAAAGAAGGAATCACTGCTAAAAGTTCCCATTTGATTAACTTTACTTTCTCTTGCTTGTTGACAGCTTTATTTAATTGATTTTGACAAGGTTGATCTTTATTTATACAATTCGTGGGAGAATGGACTTTGTAAGAGCTAGGCTTTCTAAAATTAAACTTTCACAAAGTAAGGACATCCTTGAACATTAATCATAATGTAGGACATGAACAATTTTCACCGTTGAAATTGATATTTTCTTTTCCAGCTGACCCTAACACGCTGAAGCAGGAGAATAAGGAGTTGAAGGACCTAACCAACTGTAAGATCTGCCTGGATGAGAAAGTCTCCATCGTATTCCTGCCCTGTGGTCACCTGGTGTCCTGCCCCCAGTGTGCCCCCGCCCTCACCAAATGCCCCATCTGTAAAAAAAACATCAAAGGGACTGTAAGAACTAACCTTGTAGAAAAAGTACAACAAAATGGACAGCAAATTAATGTGAATGAAGAACGATGATAAAGAACATAAAAAATACTGCTACAATATATACAATACAGCTCAACGAACTTTTTAAACTCACATTATTTTTCGCACAAATTGAGGTCACATTGTTATAATGCAAAATTGTGTACAGTGACAACAAAATATATTTTTAAATGATTTTTAATTAAATTTTGATTATATTCGATTACTTTAAACATAATAATAATTGGTAAGATTTTATATGCTCTTTGATGATATATTATGAGAGTTTCCAAACGGTTGTTTCATGGTTTCTCGTCAAGTGCAACCGACTTTGTATCCATTCATTTTCATGCATACTTTCGCCTTGCCTTCATATAGAAACAGTGCAGTTCATGTAATTTCTGTATTTTCTGTACATTAATACTACACTAAGGCGCAAGATGAAAGAAGTATTTCTCATCTGTTTGACTGCTTTCCATGTAAAAAAGATTTCATTTTTTCAGGTTAACTTCCTGAAATTTACAATTTACTAATGTTGAAAGATACACAATACTTTATTATAATTTCCTTTCGCATGATTTCTTTATGAAGTTTTGTCATTTTTCGGCGCTGAATTTCGATAAAACAAGACAAGTATTAAAAATATGCAAAGTACCTAGACAACTAATCATCTGTTATAAGTCAATTTGAACATTTCAACCAAATTATATCAAAGAAATGTCGATAAATTAATTTGTAAATACCTATGAAAGAATCACAAACATTACCATCATAAAATATATAAACAAATTCCCTTTTAGAACATTGAATTCTCTCAAGATAATGATTTTAAAGATTAGGCACCTTTACCATGGAATATTTAAGAATATAAGGGCTATGCCTCGTACTGAAAATCGATAATTTTAAATTTAATTGCAAGAAAAATGTGACTTCAGTTTGTGCGAAAAACCATGTGAGTTTAAAAAAGTGTGTTGAGCTGTATACGTTTTGTAAAATCAAGAGACAAAAACAAAATATCAAAGTGTATTACTTGATGGGAATAGTAAAATATAACCAAGTAATCTGTTTATTAAACTAAATCATAAAAGTAATTTTAGATGAAAACATTTTTAAAAAAGAATCCAAAAACGGAGCATACTTTTTATTCAACAATTTTCAATATTACGAGCATTTTATATGGAGGACAGACCTAGGAGTTTTTGTCACAGATATCATGAAATATGTATACAGGGTGTCCCAAAACACTTTTAAAGTAGTTCTATACTCGCACTACGTCACTTACGAATAGTAAAACCGGAACCGCGCTTCCTTTTTCCGAGATGAGATTTTTTAACTGTATTCATGGTATTGGTTTGACTTTTACTAGCGTTTTAAATATCCGGTAACGATTTTGCTGGAAGTCGGGCGTGTCAACAAACACAGATTCTACAGTTTAAGGATAAATAAATAAAATAAGAGAAGGCTGGGAACAACTTTCGGTAACAGAAATAATTAGGTAATAAAACGATATTTCTGTGAATGATGCATGTTTTATATGCCGCGCCGAAAACACGGACCATGGACATGCTACATCAGAACATGTATCAAACTATCGTGGCGACTATTGTCGGCGGTCAAGTTTAAGCTAGTAGTGATAATTCGGAAGAAAAATAATGACTACGGTTTGATTAGACAAATTATAGATTTAACTTATCAAACATTACAAAATTTACTTTGAATAATAATTATTGCATTAAACGCATACCCCCCTACCCCAACGTGCTTACCCACGAATCCCAATGGAAAATTTTCTTTTAAATATAAGTATTTGACAAAAGTTGACTCACTTGCAGCATACTTGGTTACTTTCTGAAACAAAATCATCCAGTTTCTGAGAATCAGTCAATTACTTTCATTTTCATCGTCTCAAATTTACAGACAAGACTTACCGTGTTTTATTTATTTATTTATTTATTTTTTTGTAAAATAAGATAAGTTTTAGGGACAATAGGTTTTGGGTATGTATAATCATTGTTTTAAATTATATACAACTTTGTTAATACAAGTATACACTCAAACATTAACAGTATTACAGGAATATGTGGCAATATATTACTTCTGGAAGAAAGAAATTAGGGGGGTCCCTTTAGTGTAGAGCTCATACAACGAAAAGTAATGCGTCAACATATAATTTTTTTCAGCTTATTCTTTTTCTTAAATATAATTTAGTAAAAATAATGTAAATTTACGAAGTTTGAGTCCATAATTTTTTTTTAATGACCGAGATTGTCCTGTGAAGCATATTTTCTCACATTAAATTTTGATACAATAGCCTAACAAAGTGCATCTTTTTATAATAATTCATGCAAAACAAGGATTACATATTGTTTACTAACATGTTTCTACTCTATTTTGGGTATTAAAGTTGAATATTTAGACTTTAATCAATTTATATACAACAAAATCTAGAATAGGTAAATTTTCAGTATTTTACATTTCGGGGTATATACTCCGATAGGCTATAGCGGAAAAGTATACACGTTGACATATCATTTTTCTTGTGTCTATCCATTGCTGGGATGTATGTCTATCTTATAAAAGCAGATTTTTAAAGATTGAGCCCATTTAGTGCCGAGTATAGAACTACCTTAAGCCCTTGTAAAAATTTTATGCCTCAAGTTACAGTATTGAAATTTAAAATATATAATTAAATTGTTATATTTTTTTTGTTAAGCATTCATTTGTCTCTGTTTCTTTATTAATCATCTACAATTTTTTAAAGAATAACATATGTCATTTTACAACATGTTCCAAATGACGTCCCTTTGAATTAACACTGTTTGAAAACAATTTCTGAAGTTTTTATTTACCTATACTTAAATGGAACATTCTGACAGTTCAGAAGTTTTTCCACATTAAAATTGGGTTTCACCAAACAATAGTATTTAAGATTCTCTTCAACAACATTCTTAAAATGTAACTTACCTTCATCGGAAAACCATGCATCTGTTAAATTGCAGAGTTTGGTCTAATTAAAATCCAATGGGCAAACTTAAACGACTTCTAACTTCTGTCTCTTTCAAATGCTAAATGCTACATTACATTTATTTCGCCGAAATATGGCTGAAATACTGCCGACTCGGCGTTAAACAATAATAATCAATCAATCATTTCACTTATCTTGTAAGGAATTGATTTTAAAATCAAATTTGGATATTAAATGAACACTAAATTTACTAAAGGTGCTATCTTGTTCATACAGGACCCATCCAATGGATTTTTGTAAAGTGTCAGTAATAACTCTATCAATGTTATTAATGTTCTTTTTGGATCGGACTTTTCCTGGTCTTCTAATACAAGAATTAAGTCATGTATCATTTAAAGTGCCTTTTACTTCAAACTCGTTCCCAAATCTGTAAATTAGAAATCTGTTGAGCACTTTCATTACAGGATATAGTTTTCTCATGGTACTAATGACTAATGTAACAATTTTAGACCAATATAAAAGTTGTAAAATTTCTACCAGCTCTTCACATTAAGGTTTCCATATTAAAAAATATGATGACGTAATAAGAACACCATAATTACCTGACTTTTTAACATAATTTCTCGAAAAAATGTATGCTTATACATTAGATGTTGACAAAATTTCTTTGTGAATGCTTTTGTTTTGATTAAGTTATAGGTGATTAACTGTGTAACATATGTTTTGGGACACCCTGTACTATACATGTATGCTCTATTTTAAAAAGAAAGTCTTTGATTATCAGAAATTTTTTGCATGCAGTGTTACGATGATTAACATACAATGAGAACAATCTCATAGTAACTGTCCCAGTTTTGTGTATTTAAATGCACGGTTTGTCCTGCTTTGATTTGCATTGTGTAGATCACGCTTCTTACATACTGAAATAGTCATTGTTACATGTACATAGTTTATCTTTGTTGAATGTTTGATTCTATGGAATTTAGTTTTGGAGTGATAAGAAGCCTTGAAGAATTTTACAGGTAATTGGCAGATCACTTTTTATAGTGTTCAGCATTTCTTGCTTTATTCTTTTACAATAAAGCAAGAAATGAATACATACATGCTAGATGGCGCCACGACTTTCTTTGAGGTTTTTTGCCTATTGGTCTAAAATTTACATTATATAAGTAATTTTACTATAAAAATATTATAATTATGTTTTTTTTTGGTTGGAAATCATTTATTTCATTTATTTTTAATTTACAATTAATTTATGCCCATCAAACTAAATGGTCAAGTGAATTTTTTTATATTCTTATCATTATTTTTTTTTCTTACAAATCTTTATCATGCATGTGTCTTAATGTCTACTGAATATATATATATATATATATATATATATATATATATATATATATATATATATATATATATATATATATATATATATATATATATATATATATATATATATATACTGACATCTGGAATATAAAATGCATGTTGTGTTTATGTGTACATGTACGAGGGTCAACGTCATACTTAAACAAAATTTAATATATATATAATGAATTTATTAATGATACACTTTTCATATCTATAGCCATACATCTTCAGAATTTTCCTTAAGGACATCGGCAACGTTTCTGGCTTTCGTATAAAATTTTTCAAGAACTTTTGAAAAGATTTAGTGGTGCCAAACATGTTTAATTCAGGTCCTTTTAACCCATCAAGCCAATTAATTATTTTTTTTATCACTTTATCAGAGGTTGAAAGTTAACTTAATGTATTGCTTTGTTTAAGTATTGGATGTATGCCGAATACAGTTCTGTATTGAAAAAAATATCAGACAGTTTGAGGCACCTTAGGGCCTTACAGAATTGCATGAGGCATACATCGTACTTAAAACATTGCTTTTTAGCTCACCTGAGCCGAAGGCTCAAGTGAGCTTTTCTGATCAAAATTTGTCCGTCGTCTGTCGTTGTTGTTGTTGTCGTAAACTTTTCACATTTTCATCTTCTTCTCAAGAACCACTGCGCCGATTTCAACCAAACTTGGCACAAAGTATCCTTGGGTGAAGGGGATTCAAATTTGTTCAAATGAAGGGCCACGCCCT